CTCTTTAAATCACAAAATGTAGTTTACTATGATAACCAAGACCAAAATCTCTTTTAGTGTCTACTTCAAAGTAGATAAACAAGAAAATAAGCCCAGTGGCTTTTGAAACAGACCTACAGTACGACATTCTGCTAAAAGTGTTGGTAAAGTCATCACAACGGAGCATAGTGGCAGACAGCCAATTCAAAGGGAATTTTCCCTCTCTAAAGTTCTCCCGTGGCTTTAACCAAGAGCAGACCACAGGAATCCGCCGTGGTGCAGTCGAGCGGGAGCACTTTGAAAGAGGATATCACACACACATCTACTCCCGCTCCATCACTGCACCTCTGGAAGAAAAAAAAACTACACCTCCTGCCTCTTTAACAAAACAGAGGCCCATATGGAGAAGTTTAGCTAGGAAGCCAGACCCCAACTTCAGTTTCAGACACAGAGTGAGGCGTAAGACTGTTCCATTACCATAGAATATTCCATATGGATGTAGGGTTCCACCTGTATTGTTTAAAGCTGCACAACAGAGGATAAAATGGACAAAATCCCATTATAGATACTATGCCTACAATAATCATTAATATTTTTGAGCTGTCAGGTCAGATTTGTTGGGAAATTTCAGGTTTACGCTGTTCCCCTTGCACATTTTTTTTTCTTTTACCGACATACATGATGTAAAATAAAAAAAATACAACTTCACAAGTAACTTGTGAAATAAGTAAAATTTTCATTTACAGTTCCAAAGTTCCACAGTGCCCTTTCCACATGAAACACAAGCAGTGCTGTCATTGTTAACTAAAACTAAATCTATTAAAAATAATTTTTGGAATTTGAAATAAAGCTGAAATAAAATAAAATATAAATATTAGACAAAAAACTTAAACTTAGAAAGGTTGCCTTCGCAATAGGGATGCACCGAATGTTCGGCAACTGAAATTGTTCAGTTTTGAATTGAAACGAATAAATTGTACCACACAATGACGTGACGCGATCAAATAGCAACCAGCATAAAAGGAGAGGCGTGCACTTTTTATAATGCAACAAACATGTCAGCAGTGTGGAAGCATTTAAACCAGGGGTGCCCAAACTCGGTCCTGGAGGGCCGGTGTCCTGCAGAGTTTAGCTCCAATTTGCCTCAACACACCTGCCAAAAAAGTTTCTAGTATGCCTATTAAGAGCTTGATTAGCTGGTTCAGGTGTGTTTAATTGAGGTTGGAGCTAAACTCTTCAGGACACCGGCCCTGCAGGACCGAGTTTGGGCACCCCTGATTTAAACGGTCAGAGAAAGATGCAAAAATCATTACAAGCACCGACAGCAAGAGAACGTTTAGTACTGCATCGCATGTCTTCGATGAGAAGAGGAAGGGGTGATTGTTGCTGGTTACTGTATGATGATTGAAATCACGAAATGGCCTTAAACAATTAGTAAATAAACTGCAGAACGTCATGTTTTCTAATACACGCATGAATTGCATGTAGCCTATTCTGACAGCGCTGCACAAACTTGCGGCAGATCTGCTTGTTGACCAGGGTTCAAAGTCCAAAGCGCAAGGAAAATCTGCTCAGTCACATTATTATGAATTTTTACAAGGCACGTGACAATGCGATACGTGCGACATATTCGTAATGAGACTCATTTATAAATCTGCTGTTGTCAACAAAAAGAAGCATTGAGATCTTCCTGCGCGTTTCTGCCAAAATAAAAGTTGAACTCCATGAACATTCATAAATGCTAGTATTGTAATTTTACTGTTGTCCTGTAAAATAAAATAAAAAGTAAGACAATAATAATAATGATAATAATTACAACAGCTGTTAATACATTTATTATAACATTCACATATAGTGTTCAAATTGGGATCTGTAATATTTTCTAATGCTTTAAAAGAAGGCTCTTCTGCTCAGCAAGGCTGCTTTTATTTGTATAATAAAAAATATGCCTAATTCAAGAAGGGGGGTCTGATGGCCAAAAAATATTATTTACTGACTTTTTAATTTTAAGTTAAATTGTGCTTTGTTGGTATAATGTCTGCTAGAATGTTAAAAAATATTCAGTGTTAAATATTTTTAAATTGTTGTTTTGTAATTGATTTTTTCTTTGAAAAGCAAGACAAAACAGTAAAAAGCACATTTTGGCTATTTAATTTATGCAATAGTGAAAAAAATTGGCAAAATACACCGGGAAAAAAACTCGAAAAACCGTGTTCGGTATAGAACAGAGTTTCATTTTGTTCGGTTTCGGCTTCGGCCAAGAATTCTCATTTCGGTGCATCCCTACTTCGCAAGTAACTGAAATAAATGTTTAAGTACCAAAATTATTAAAACTAAAACTGAAATAAAAATCAATACAATTTCAATAGAAATATTATAACTATATAATACAAATATAATATAACTAGTAAACCCGACTAAAGCAAAAAGCTAAATTACTCAAACTTAAACTAAAATGAAAATTGAAAATATAAATAAGGTGTATTTTTGATTGACTGATGTATTTTGAATTGAAAAAGAACATTTACAGAGAAACATATCAACCAAGATTACATATTACAGATTGCAAATTGATTGGATCGTTAAAAGCTAGAATGGAGCCAGGTGGTTGGAGGAGAAGTGGTGATGTCAGCCAAAAATATGTGGACTACATTTTGATGAAGATTATGCACACAAGCATTTTTATTTGCAAAAAAAAAAAACATGTGTCTCTGAATCATGCACAATAAGACCAGGAACAGATTAAGAAAGTAAACAGAGTTCATGTTAACTTTAACACACCCACTTCATAAGCTTTCAAAAAAAGTAACTTTTTAAAGGGATAGTTGATCCAAAAAAAAAAATTCTGTCATCATTTACTTACCCTGAAGTGTGTGCATGACGACAGAATTTTCATTTTTCTGGTGAATTATCCTTTAAGTCGTCCTGAAATCTGATATATACATATTCAGTCATGATGCTGCTACTTTGAATAAAGAAAATCATAATCTTCAGTCTGAAGGCTGCGTGACCAAAACAAACCAATGCAATAGTCTAGATTGAGACCATCAAGAAAACCAGTAGCCAAACTCTCCAGGGACCACTGGAGAAACTGGCTGCAGTCAGCTCCACAGTGCAATTTCCTTTCACAAACGAGGGAAAAATGTCAGGCAGCTGTTTCCAGCCACAGAGAGCTGAGATGAAGCGAAGTCTGAATCAGCCAGACAAAGGAAAAAGAGCAAAACGATGAATAAGGCACATGTGCTCGTTTAGGCCTGAACCCGAGCGTTTTATATGCCCTCCTGTGTGCTAAGCTTCTGTTAAAGCCATCAATGCACGGTTATTACATCTATGACATCATGATGTGCTACCCGTCTGAGAGCGTGCATCTGAGGGAGGGGAGATGGTACGAGCAGACACAACCTCACACTGAGCTAAATGTGCACCACAAGCAGTAGCACACAGGAAATCAGAGGCGGAAGTGAGGGAAGTTGAGTTACGTCACTGACTGTATAATGTATGCTGTCAGGAAAGTGTAAAAGAGAGGCTGTGACTGTCAGAATATCATTTTTCCTATTCGTTTTTTTTATGTTTTTGTTCAGGCTGCACTGATACCTCTTTGACGGAAGAAACACTTTTAACCTGTGTGACTCTAATCAGTACCATAGTATGAAGTCGAAAGCCTCTTTTCCTGAGTGGAGAGCTCTCTACCAGACGCACACTTTGATGTTCCTTTATCTGTCAAGCGGGACAGACAGAGCCCAGCACATCTTGTCGTCCGATAACAGCACTGAAACACAAATGTTACTCAAAATGTTATGCTTTCCCACAAAGTAAAAGCAGGGAGAGGAAATCTGGCCGAACTTAAAGAAGACTGCTGACGAGGCTCAAAAACTGACCTCGGTTCCACCCTGGGATGGTCAGTCTTTCCATCATCAGTCCAGTATGGAATGAGTGATGTCATTTTGTTGCTAAACTAGAACTCTTTGATCAATAAATCAAAAATTCTAAATAAATTCTGGAAGAGAATGTAGGCAACAACTGACTAGCAACAGCCAAGCAACCACCTAGCAATGCCCTCATTAGAAAACGGTTTTAATGTGTACATAAAAAAAACCTCATAGCATATCCTGAGTCTATTTGTACATTAATAAAGAATAAAATCAATTTAGTATCTATTAATCTGTTTTTAACTCGCAAACGCAAATCAACAGTTGGTTAACAAAGGCTAGAAAAACTACAAAGACTGTTTGACAAATGTTTCCAAATGATACGATGTTATGATTCAGTTACTGTATTACATAAACACGCCTGATTGCCTCATAATGTCAGATTCACAATGACAGATGAGTGTGTAAGTGTGTGTTCAACATGTGTGTAAATGTCTGCTCAAAAGCAACAGTAGGCGATGGAGAGAGAGAGAGAGAGAGAGAGAGAGAGAGAGAGAGATTGTTCACCATCTCTCGCTCGTAGGAGTTTTGGGGGAATTCAGAAAATGCTGTGCTCTATGAGGAGATGAATTATATAACACCACTCACAAAACCACACTCTTTGCCTGTATGTCAATTTACTAAAAACGTTTGGGATGTAAAGTGAAGTCTGTGCCTGTTTCACCATCGTGCGAAATTTCACATCATTTATCAGCGCTCGTGAAGTTTCAGAGACAAAAGGACTGAGGAGAAGCGTGCGAGTAACAAAATGGGGGTGAAACATTTGAGAAAGTCATAAAGCTTCTGACATACGGAGCATATCAAAGAAATGTCAACACGTCCCTTTCGCTCATCTGTGCAATGTGTTTATCTGTTGATCACTGTGAAGTCTGAGGTGCTAAACAATACCGTTAGGAACACTGGAGAAAAACTGTTATTTTAAATGAAGGAAATTATGAAGGAAATATGTAATGATTTCATGTAAGTACAGGCTATGTACATCAGTGAACATAAACTTGATATAAAGTAAATATTTTAAACGCGTTAAATACGGTTTCAAAATATTTTTAAAGTAAAAAGACACTATATAGTCTTATTGTATGGCATACTCACCAAAACAATGGCAAATCTTTCTTCCAGCTCTGTTGGGTCAGGCATGGGAACTTTCAAAGGCATGATATGATGCTTCATCTCATATTGCCCGTCCACACTCTCAATATTCCCCATATTTTACTTTTATAATGTCGTCCAGACGCAGGATTCAGATGCTCTGTGTCTAAATCACTCTGTGCCTCCCGGCGCCCTTTATAAATCCAATATACATCCAATACCTGCGATCACATTCCACTTTTGTTTGGTTTTGTTCAAAAAGTTGAAAAAGATATAGTGATCCGTTTCAGAACCGATTCCTAATCGGTATAAATCTTAAAAAATGATGAGATATCTAGTGTGTTTTAAATCATCTAATTAAACAAAAAAGTATCACTCTGTCCTCTTGAAAAGTATTGTATGGCAGAGGTCTGGACAATCCATGTCAAGCAGCCAGTCCTCTTATTTCTTCTTTTTCTGTTGTCTCTCTTCTCTTGGTAATGCTGTAGATTATAGTTTATGTTGTATTTTGGGTGATCCCGATTAGTGCTCATCTGTTAACTCACTGCGCCCACAATGAAAGCCATCGACATGCGACTGATCACACCCGTCTCCAAACTGCACATCGCTAGCGTAAAGTTGAATGAGATTTTCTGTCAGCTCTCTGTCGCCACCTGCTGGCGGAAAGCTGGAATTACAGCATTACTGATTGAGAATCCCCGCTGTAGCATTTTTAATGACTTTATTCCTGACTGTTTGGCTTCAGCTGAGCCTACTACTATTTTCTTTCGAAACAGTGGATATCACAGCTGTTTATTTTTCTGAAAATAATTGGCTTATTCATTGTGAATAAAGAAACTGAATTATTTCAATATAAATGTACCGAATGCATGTTGAAAAAAAATAAAACAAATCAGTGTTTAAAGTGCAAATGGCATATTTATTAAAACTGCAATACAGGCTCTGGTTAATAGGGTGCAGAAGCACTACATTTCAATGTCAAAAGCATCTCTCTTTTCCTCCCTTTGGCTGTTTATTCAAGCGTCTTTCTCAGCAGGAACTAATTCTGTACGTCAAGACACAACTCAAGCATTTTTGTAACATTTTTGAGCGTCTGTCTCTCAGAGACTCATTGGCACTTAAAATTTAAATATTCATGCTGCCTTTTGGTTCAAACATACATACATAAAATATATATTTTTAATCTTTGGGAAAGTACACACTTTGCACAGTGATTGAAACGTTTTTGATATGTGTAAAATGAATAGTCTTGTCATAAACATGAGGGTAAAATTTGTGAAACACAAAGATATGAAGAAATGTTCACATAATTACGAAACACTTAAAACATTTAAAATAGGAAACAATAAAAAAGGATTAATTTCCTCTTGGCTTCTTCATAGACTTGACTACACAACAACAACAACAACAACAGAATACTAATATTTGTTTTCTTTTTTTTCAATAAACACTGAAAAGCTGAACAGAAGCTCCAACTTCTCATTGCTGCATTACCCATAAAGTGCAGGTGCTCATAAAAAGCAGAAGCTACAAATTAAAATACTTAAAAAGGTAACATTTCTCCAACATGTTGTCATATTGGCTCTAGGTGGCGCCCTCATAGCCTTCTTGTGCTAACATTATTTGTTTAAGATGGAAATCAAGCAGGCTATATTTTGGGTGAAAGCTAGTTGCACAGCAATTCCATGATGCAATCTTAGTCCTGACACACTGCTCTAGGACTCCCTGCTAGTTTCAGGATAAGTAACATCCGTGAAATCGGCCTCCACTCTAAACGACTGCAAATAAAGTCAACATGGGAAGGCCAGTCAGTTGGTCTCATGTGACAAGTCATACCTGAAATTATACAAATAAGAACAGATGTAAGAAAACACTCTGTAATCTTAGCATAATCTACAGTGAACAACAGTACAGCACATACCACTGTGATACTCCTGTCTTGAGATCCAGCTGACACAAGTCTAGCTGAAGCTGAAACAGAATGGCGATTGAAATTTAGTCATTTCTGTGTAATAATGTCTATGGTGTTGTTATCTGACTCGGCACATGATGAATACCTTGCCAAGAAGTTCTTTTTCACGACTCATGAAGGAAACGCTGTTCTTGACAGACACTTCAAGATGTTTCTGCTTAGCTTCTTCAAGTGTCATGTCAAAATCAAATCTGTAGGAGCAAGTGAAAGATGGTGAACATTCGGCTCTCAGTGTCATCAGATAGTGCTTTGATGAATGTTCCTACTAACCTCTCATTGAACTCAGGTTTGAGACTTTTCTTCTTAACACTGGTCTTCCTTTTGGTGTTCCGGTTCTTGTCCGGAAGTAGAATAAATGAGATATAAGTATCTGGAGGATCCTTAGAGAAGGACGGCAAGTTCCTGTGCAAGAATACAGAATTATGAAAAAAATAAACTGAGGTCCATAACCAGAAAGAAGGCTATTTTTTAGCCTTAAAGATACAGTCATTATATTGTTTAATTATTTAACAATTGTATTATACATATTAAAATTATAATTTTATTATATATTTTTTTTATTCAACAAGTATATATTTATGTATTTAATTATATATTTAGAATATTTTATATATATATATATATACAGTGGGGCAAAAAAGTATTTAGTCAGCCACCAATTGTGCAAGTTCTCCCACTTAAAAAGATGAGAGAGGCCTGTAATTTTCATCATAGGTATACCTCCACTAAGAGAGACAAAATGAGAAAAAAAAATCCAGAAAATCATGAAATTTTGTTATTGACCAAATACTTATTTTCCACCATAATTTGCAAATAAATTCTTTAAAAATCCTACAATGTGATTTTCTGGATTTTTTTTTCTCATTTTGTCTCTCATAGTTGAGGTATACCTATGATGAAAATTACAGGCCTCTCTCATCTTTTTAAGTGGGAGAACTTGCACAATTGGTGGCTGACTAAATACTTTTTTTCCCCACTGTATGTGTGTGTGTGTGTGTGTGTGTGTGTGTACATACAGTACATTTTATATTTTATTATCTATACATATATTTAACATACTGTTTCATATTAAAGATATTAGTAATTTTTATGTTATATATATATATAAAGTAAATTAATATTTTATTTAACAAAATGTTTATATTTAATTATATAGTTTGAATATTTTCTATATTATAATATTCAAATTGTATCATTTGTTTTTTTATTTATACATATGTATCCAGTACTATATTATATTATATTATTAATATTGTTATATTATGCAGCAACTGAACGTGTCCAGTAATTGGTTGGTTACCACAATAAAGTAAGTCGTTTTTACTGGTCACCTTTATGTAGCATTAAGGTGCAGATCATTGATCGGTTTTCATTTTAAGTGAGGGAACTTGTACGACACCTACCTGCAGGCATGGATGGTAATAACCAATCGGTTCTTCTCAGATAAATAGGCAACAGAGAGTTTCACCTGGGCCTTCCTGGTTGAACTGGCATCCTCGCCTCTGCATTTGCATCAATCCACACAAATAAACCAACACATATGTCAATGTCAGTTACTGTTTGATTCTGAACATACTGTTGCAAATGAAATACAGCTCCTCTTGAGCTCACCCTTGGACGGGCACGCTTCTGTGTCGGAGCTCAAAATTGGCTGCAGCAGCTGTGTCTCCACTGGGTATGACATGACTTGAATCCTCTGCATCGCTACATTGAGCCAACTTGCTGTCTAGGAGCTTTTTAACAGACAAGATGTTTTTATTTTATTTAAACTAGATTTTTTTCTTTTATGCTTACCAAGGCTGTCTGTATAATATACTTCATTCTGGCTGAACGTAAATGCGTCCTGCTGCTCAGCACATGTTGAATATGTGTGTGATTTCTAACCTTGAGTTCAGCTCTCAGCAGAATCTGACTTTCAGGCATGGCTCCATCCAGACTGAACCAGCGGTCCAGCACCAGATCCTTCTCATCCAGCAGCTCCCTCACAGGAAGCACAAGTGACCCCAGAGCCTGACCCCAGCTGTGAGTGAGCTACAAACACACACCAGATTCATATAAAATACACTCCAGAGCAGAGAACATTATGTAAATATGGTCTTTCTGACATAAATTCACACCTTAAAATCAATAATTACTGTAAAAAAGTTTCTCACTTTGACTATAAGTGTGTCTTCTGATGGATTATGCATCAGGAAATGAAAAGCTTCATCCCACTGTGGAGAAGTCGAGCGATTGACAACCTTGTGAGAGAAACATGATTCTTTTGTGAGTCTTTGATATTTGAATAACATCAACATAAATGCATCAGGATGTGAGGGTCTTACTTTGGTCCGGTGGGATAAATTTTTAAGCGACACTTCTGCTCCTGCTTTCGGCTCTTTCCCGCTCTTTTTTAACTGCAAACAACAATGCGTTTTCTATGCTGGGTGCTTCTAATATACTCAGTTAATTGAAGCAAAGTCTATGCTAACTACCAGCTACTGCAAATTAAGTAGTGAATAAACAATCAAATATCTGAATGAAAATAAAATGTAACTCACAGGCAGACCATGTGCTCTCTCAATGTACACAAAAAGCAGTGCAGCAGAAGGAACAATTTTATTGAGGTAAGATTGCTGATAGTTGTAATGTAGGATCTGAATACAAAATCAATTGATATGTTAATATTTATTGAATTCGGATGAACAATAAAAGCATATATAATAAAAGCACATTACCTGTTCAAGTCTAGTGGAATCTGAAACTTTAGGCACCCATTCCAACACAAGATGAAGTCGTCCAGACTTCACATCATTCAGAGTATACCACTGCACCAGGACACAGGCATAAATAGGTGTAAACAGGCATACAACCAGATATAGAAAGTATAAAAAGAAAAAATCATGAAGAATGTTATATTTAGAAACAAACAAACATGCACTGAGAGCCTCACCTGATCAGTAAACTGAGCACTGATGAGATCTCTGAGACTCACTTTAACCCTGCAAACAGATAATAAATCACTGCAGGAACAATACTGACATTCACCAAAAGAACTGATAAACTGATACTTTAAATGCACTAGCCAAAACTTTATAACACACAGCCTTACCTGACACTTTGAAACAAACCAGAGATCACTAACATGTTCTTAACACAAATGTACAATTTAATAGACTTTTATCCTATTTTATCTCATTCACTACCCTTAAAGCCATCTGTCCTCAGAGTGTAACTCACTATGTCATATTAGGCCTGAGCAAAACAGAAATACAAATATGTATCTTTTAAATCAGTAAAGTCAGCCTGTATAGCATGAAGGGATATATTTTATGTGCTATGAGGTCAATAACATAACACAGGCACTATTACATTTGATAGGTGTTTTTTTTTAACCATTTAAATATTAAAGCTTCATAACCATGGCTGTCACACAAATTATAAAGAAATTGTTAGGATTTTTAAATAATCTTGCTCATTTTAAGGTCCTGCTGTTATTATCTAGTGGCAACAGTTCTTCTTTTGAACTTTCTATTCATTATCATTAGAGAATCTTTAAAAGTATCATGGTTTACCACAAAATATTAAGCAGCACAACTGCTTGCAACATTGATAATAATAATAAATGTTTCTTGAGCACCAAATCAGCATTAGAATGATTTCTGAATGATCCTGTGACACTGAAGACTGGATTAATGGCTGCTTAAAATTCAGTATGCAGGAGTAAATTACACTTTTAAATATATTAAAATAGAAAACTAATTTTAAATCATAAAAAAACCGCAATATTACTAATTTTAATGAAGTTTTAATCAAACAAATACAGCCTTGGAGAGCAATAAGAGACCTCTTTCAAAAACAAAAAAAAAAGTAGAAGAGGAAGGTTGCCACCTCACCTGCCAAGGAAGTCATCCTGATCGATGTCTTTATCATAAAGGTCAAACTCCACCTCCTGACCTGGGAGCTGGGTCAAGATCACCTACAATTCAAGCAGCCAGGTGTACATTACTTAAATATCTCTTTGCAAATGGGGACACTTATTTTCCAAAAAGGAATGTTTGAATATGTTTGCAGCAGAGAAGCAATAAATTGACTCTCAAAGCAGAAATCAGCAAGACGAGATGAAATCCTTCTGTTTTAAGGAAGAAGCCACATTCAATTAGCATGCATACCTCATACAGTTCATTCCAGATGGGGTTGAGGTTCTCTTTGATGACCTGACTCTTGAAGGCCAGTCCTCCCACCCGGATTTTCACATACGGGTCACTCTTTCCCTTCACCATGCCACCCATTAAATTGTCCTTAGCGACAAGACTCTGGGCTTCTACCAGGTGAATCCGCAAAACACCCTATATTGAAATTGTGATTATTACAAATATTGATAACTTCAATTTAAAATTTTTATTTCAAAGGTTATCAAGATCCAAAATACAGGCTCACCTCAGATGCAAAATTGCCATCTGGGCTAGAGTGCTCAGGACGTTTTGAAGTGGGAGTCAATTTTGACAGCCCTGGAGACAGTTCTGATTCATCATCTCCTTCTCCGGGTAATGGAGACACAGGTGTTGTAAGGATGGCTTCTTCATTCAGCCACAACACCTGAAACAAACATCTCCTAAATTAAGTGTCCTCAAAGTTTTTAATAATTAAAATCAATCGCTCTTATCTTACCCTCAGCATAGCTGTGATGTAGATACGGCTGGCCGGTCCGGACTTTTCTAGCTGAAACCACTGATCCATGCTGAGCTCAGCGCTGGAGAGCAGACGGGACAGAGGGATGGACAAACCGCCCAGAGTCAAAGCCCTGTCATCATCCTTCACCTGGGACAAATGGAAGCAATCACAATGAAGAAATGCTGTTTACATGTCTATATACAATTAAATGAACACTTGAAAGGATATTATTCCATTTACATAATAAAAAAAGAATAAATTAGGTTTAAATGAATAACACTAGATTTAATATTTTACAATCATATTGATTATACCTGGATGTCGATATCTTGTTTGCTTGGGTCCTGAATAAAAAATGTAAAGGCATCCTCCCATACTGGATTATTAGTTCCATACACCGTCTGTATTATTAATTATGAGAGAGTATATGAAACAGAGTGACTCCAAAAGGCATGAATATACCATAAACTTAACAAGAACAATGACATCATACCCTGCTCTCTTTGGTGGTATCCTGCACAGAAATCTGCACCATGGGGCTGGGATCCTTATTGCCTTTCTTGAACTGAACAGAAACACATCCAACTGAATAACATCAACATTTAAAACACTCTTTCAACAAAACAATCAATGGAGAAAGAAGGGCAATAGAGCTGCAGAATACAAACTTACAGGTAGATCTTGTGCCCGGTCCAGATAAACAGTCAAAACGGCAGCAGAAGGAGGATCTGCTGTCTTACCATATACCGTAATGTTTTTATTCCTCTCCAGCACCTACATTTAATAAAAGGGTTTAGTCTGGAAATGAAAGGAGAATATCAACAAATACACCATTTTTTATAGTCTGTCAGGTGAGATCTTACTTCGTTAAGGCGCTCTGCAGAGGGCAACAGAGAGAGCCATTCTAGCTTGAGATGAACCTGACCTGATGGCACATCCTTTAAAGTGTACCACTAAAACCACCGTGAAAAGCATTACATTACTATTACAAACTAAACTGGTGAAATAAATGTGATTGCCACTGATTTCAAAGACATAACAATACAGAACAATAACAGGAAGGTTTCTTGGTGTAAGAAATCAATTAAAGAAAATATCAAATGAAATAAAAATAAATATAAATAAAAAATAAGAATTAGTCTAAAAGATGTACCTCATCCAAAAGGACTGCTTTCTTTACAATACCTAAATCCAGCTTCATTCTAAAAAAGATGATACAGAGACAATAGAGGAAGACAAAAAAACATTTCTTATATTAATAAAGATATTAATATGTTAATATAAATAAGACATCAAAACAATATATTTTTTATAATGATTTATTAATATGTATATGTTTTTTTTATTTTTTATTTTTTATTTTATTATATTTTATATAATAAAAGTTTCATAGCGACGGAGTTTTATCATTCTTATGTTATTGATATCAGGGAATGTTTTACCAAATCCTGGTCCTTATAATGATACTGCTTCGACTTTAAATGTTCCTGTTGATTTTACATCCAGATCAGGACTGGGTTTTATTCATATTAATGTGAGAAGGCTGCTTCCTAAGTTTGGATTTGGTGCGTATCTGGGTAAAAAATACCAGTGCTGATGTTACAGTAATATCTGAAACATGGCTTAATAAAACGGTAAAAAACGGACAAAGCCATTGGTATTGATGATTGCACTGTTTATAGGGCCAATAGACCAAAAATGGGAGGGGGTATCAGTTTATGTTAAGGATAGCTTTGAAGTTACTGTGTTACTTTATGAGTCAGTGGTTAAACAATATGAATTATTAGCTTTAAACCTTATTGTCTCTAAGACCTTACATCTTACTGTAGTTGGTTGCTACAGACCTCCATCAGCTAATAATGATGCTATTTCCTCTTTGATGGACTCGGTGACTTCCCTGTGATTTTAATGTGAATTGGTTGCAGTCGGCATCTGATGGTTTGAAAGAAATCCACGCATTATTGCTAGATGGTGTATGTGATATTTTAGTGAACAAGGTTTTCTTTTTGACCTTGCTCATCATGATTGGGATAGGATTTTCCTTATCCCTGACGTTGAGTCTGCCTAGAAATATTTTTATGAAGGCTTTACATCCATCATTAATCATAGGCATGCACCTTTTAAAAATTTTGAGCTAAAGGCAAGGATAATCCATGATCCATTTCTGAAGCACTATCTGTTCTTATTCATGAGCGGGATGCTGCTTGGGCATATTATATATATATATATATATATATATATATATATATATATATATATAAAAGATAACTATTTGATCATATATATATTT